GGGACCGGCCTCCGCCCCCTCCCATCCGTGACGGTCGTTTCGTGGGGTAATCAAGGAAACCATACAGTGCCGTTTTTTATACATGCTCCGCGTGCGGATCATTATTAACCATGCAGGCTCTAGTTTCAGTAACAACGATGAGTTCGTGCACACATGTATCCATACATTGATCATGTATCGAAAATTTGTTTTTCTTTTCCAAAAAAACAATCGTATGTATTAAAAACTGCCCTGAACCCATCTGCGCGGTGTCAGGCGCCGCTCTGAGGCGGGCGGGATGCAACGAGGCTTCCCGCGCCAGGCTGCTTCTCCTCGTCCTCCTGCTGCTGCTGCTGCTGCTGCTCTTCCCGGAAATGAGGACGTCGCATGTCTGGGGAGGAAGGTGGTCGGGCGGATCGGGAGGGTCCTCACCGTATCTCGATTTGGGACATGTGCCCTGGGGAAAAGATGCTTTCGGGGTCATCGCCACCTCGTGGCGCGCAGCGCTCGACCATCTCATCTCCTTCGTCAGTCCCGGACCACCGCGCTCTTGTGATTGCCTACAGCTGCTCGCACACAGGGCCTGGTAAAGAAAATACATACAGTGCGTACCATTGTTCCGTTCCTTGCCGTTATCGTTGTCGTCCGAGTCTTTTCCTCCGCGGGTCAACCCCTCAGCCTGTCACACGTAATCATGCGAGACCGAGGCGATGTGGGTTTGCACCACTCAGCTTGCGCGACATAGCTTACACCACACAGCTTGCATCCAGCGAGTCCCAGCTTGAATCATTCAACATCGGGTCAATAGTGATCATTTCTCACGCGCAACGGGCCAAAAGCATGTCAAAGTAGACATATCGCACATACGGCTCACGCAAAACCGCGCCCAAGCTAGGCGCAATCAGGCAAAAATCTAAGGAAGGGTCATGCAGAAACGCACACAAACCAAGCCTCACCAAAACACATTGTGTGGACGTACCAGGCGAGCGTCTCAAGCGAAGCCACGTACAAACCAGGGGAAACCATGCCAATCGCGAGCACGTCTCAGGCATGATAGGAACTTCAGACAAAACAGGACTATTGCGTGGACGTTGTCGACCCCTCTTGGGGCCCTCTTGTGCCATCTTGGGGGCCTCTTGGACAGTTTGGAGGCCTCTTCGGCCGTCTTGGGGACCTCTTGTGGACTTCTTGGGAGGGTCGCGGGGGCCTCTCGTGCCGTCTTGGAGCGTCGGGATCCCGCAATGGCGAGCACGCTAAAGCGCCAAGCATCAAGTGAGAGTCAATGATTTTGGTTCATCGTGGCCCTCTCAGGAGGGCTCTTGGGGCTCTCTGGAGCATCGTGAGGGCCTTTTAGGCCGTCGTGGGGCCATCCTGGGCATTTTGGAGCTCTCTTGGGCAGACCCAGGGCCATCCTGGACGGTCTTGGCTGCCTCCTGGGTCCCTCATGCCCTACGTTGTATGTAGCCTTCTTGGCTCAGGAAAAAGTCATACCCGGATGCGCCCCGCCCTGCGGGAAGCATGCCCCGGCATGCGGGAATCACGCCGCGTTATGCGGACCGCCCCGTGAAATCCAGCACTCGGGGGTCATGGCCCCTGTATGCCAAATCCCTGGACTGAGGACGGAGGGTTCAATTGATACGAGGACACTCCAACTCGTGTCTCTGGGGACGGTGGCAGATACATGAAATGAAGGAGAAGAAGGTCCTGCCGCAGGCGATCCCGCAGTAAGGATTTCATGTTGAGTGGTGTCGGGGCGCGACAGCATGAAAATGTGACTGGGGCGCAACCGCTTGCTTTTGTCTATTGTTGTTCGGGCTTCGGGGTGGCGTGATGAGAAATGCTTTCTAGCCTGCAGCATCTACGCTGGGAATCAGCTTTTAGAGATTCAACGCCTGTGTGGCTGAAGAGGGCGTCTTCCACGGACCATGACGAGCGGCACATGCACATCCTGAAAGCGAGCGCAATGAGAAGCTGTGTCGCAGCTTTGGTGACGCATTCTTGCTTAACCCTACTCCTCCTCCTCCTCCTCCTCCTCTTCGCGATGCGCCTTCCCAGGCAAGAAGCACGGCATGGGCTCCTTCATGTGGCCCGACGGGCGCAAGTACGTGGGCATGTGGCAGCAGGGCCGCACGGACGGGAAGGCCCGGCGGGCTTTTGAGGGAGCAGGAGGGATCTTGTTGTGGTCATGGGAACGAGGATGAGGAGCATGATTGAGCACCACGGCGAGGAGGCGGATAGGGACCTCGGGAAGGGAAGCGGGGCACGATGATCCGCGCGCAGGAGCAGTGCTCGGGCGGCGGGCACGCACGGGAAGCAGGAGCTGGAGGATGCGGAGGGAGGCGCGCAGAGGGGGATGGGAGGCAGGGTGCGGGAGAGGTGCGTGAGGGCGAAGGGTGGGCAGGAAGACGAGGAGGAGGAGGAGGAGGAGGAGGAGGAGGAGGAGGAGGAAGACGAGGAGGAGGAGGAGGAGGAAGACGAGGAGCATAAAGAGGAGGAGAAAGACGAGGAGAGAGGAGGAGGAGGAGGAGGAGGAGGAGAAGGGAGGAGGAACCTGGAGGGTCCTTGAGAAGGGCGGTGGGAGAAGCGACGAGGGGGAGGCGGGGGCGGCGGAGGACGAGGGGGCGGGCGAGCGGGGGCGAGCCGAGGCGCGGGGGGTCGACGCGCCCCCCCCCCGGGGAGCTCTCGTGTGAGTTCGGCCCCACCCGTGCTGTGAGCAAGGTGGGGGTTCGGGTCGCCCTCCGAGGACGCCTTGGGCGACTGTGGCCTCCTGCTCCGCCTCCTCCTCCGCCTCGTCCTCCTCCTCCTCCTCCTCCTCCTCCTTCTCTTACCTCCTCCTTCTCTTACCTCCTCCTCCTCCTCCTCCTCCTCCTCCTACCTCCTCCTCCTCCTCCTACCTCCTCCTTCTATTCCTCCCCCCCCCGAGGACGCCTTGGACGCCTTTCCTGCTCCTCCTCCCTCCGTCTCCGACCTCGTCGCTGCGCCTCTCCTGCACAGCGGCGCGCGACATGCAGCGACTGGCGTGCCCGAAGTGGTACCCAGCACCGATCTGTGACGTACAGGCCCGGCGGTAGTTGTTGCTGTGGCCTCCGCGGTCGCCAAGCCGTGCGGTGACTGACTGTGCGGTGCGGACCCTTGGGATTTCGAGGTCGCTGCACGGTGTGGCACCGCAGCGTTTTGGGACCTCCAGCTCGACCTCGCTGCTGCCGCGCCCCTCCCCTCCGTCTCCGTCCGCAGTCCGGAGCCATTCATGACGAGCTTGCCTCGCCGCAGGATCCGCCAGCTCCGAGAGCCGAATCTCCCTGCATTCCCAGACTTCTGCCGATCAGTGTTTTCAATTGCTTTCCTCGGCTCCGCCCCTGCAAACCTCGCCGGATCGGGGTCAGAGGACCTCCTGGGCTGACAACTCAGGCCGCCCTCGCCCTCTCACCCTCCTCCCCATCCTGGCAGCGATTCAGATAATGAGGACGACGAGATGGAGGAGGAAGTTGGAGTCTTCTGGGGGTCTGGGGTGGGTCCCCCTCGTTGCCACGGATGGACACGACTCGAACAGGTTGTCAGTTTCGAGCCCTGGCAGGGTTTGGGGATGGATTCGACCGAAGTTGGAGGGGATGGTGGGGATGATGATACTGATGCTGGTGCTGGTGCCGATGCCGATGCTGGTGATGCTGATGGTCATGGTGATGCCGATGGTGATGCTGACGATCATGGTGAATGCTGATGATGATGCTGATGATGATGCTGAGCAGGCTGGCGATCATGATGACTGCTGATGATAATAACGATGCTGATGTTGGTGCTGCTGATGCTGATGCTGATGCTGATGCTGCTGCTGCTGATGTTGATGTTGATGCGTATGCTGAGGCCAACGATGATGCTGTGATGCTGCTGATGATGAAGATGATGATGATGATGATGATGATGATGATGATGATGATGATGCTGATGATGATGATGGTGCTGGGGACGCGGGCAGGCATGAAGACCATGATGAGGGTGATGAGAATGGCGATGGAGATGGTGATAATGCTGATTATGAGGCTGACGACGATGGTGTTGATGCTGATGACGACGATGTTGATGTTGTTGATGATGATGATGCTGATGATGATGTTGATGATGCTGATGCTGATGGTGATGCTGACAGCTATGATGAGACTGACGGCGGCGACGATGGTGATGACGCTGCTGCTGCTGATGATGATGATGCTGATGATGGTGATGATGAGACGGATGAGGAACCTGCTGCTAACGATATTGCTAATTATGATTGTACTGATGTTGTCGATTATTATTATGCTGATGCTTATGAGGATGCTGCTGCTGAGGAGGAGGAGGAGGAGGAGGAGGAGGAGGATGCTGATGATGTTGCTGATGACGACGCTGATGCTACTGCTGCTGCTGACGATGCTGATGCTGATGATGATGCTTATGCTCAGGATGATGATGATGATGATGATGATGATGAAGATGATGATGATGATGATGTTGATGATGATGCGTATGCTGATGATGCGCATTTTGCTGATGATGATGCTGATGCTGACGATGAAGACGACGATACGTATGGTGATGATGCTGATCGTGATGGTGGTTGTTTTGCTGATGGTGACGATGGTAAAGATGATGGTGGTGATGCTGATGATGCGGATGGTGCTCATGAGACTGATCATGCGAACGATGATGATGGTGCAGATGCTGTTGCTGATGATGACGGTGATGGGGGGAGGAGGAAAAGGAGCGCGGGTTGGAGGTTGGCGTTGACATGCGTGGCTTTGGCTTTCCTCTTTTCGCGGGGGATCCATGTGGTCTGAAGCGCCTCTTTGTTTGTGTTCGGGGCGCCCCTGAGTTTGATCGACCGACTTGCGCGGCCCAAGGGCGTCATGGTGGAGCTGGACGGCGTCGAGAGGCAGGCCGACCACGACAGCGTCCAGTCGGCGCTGTTCCTCGTGGACCCTGACCCCGGCATGGCTTTGAGCGAGCAGCCCCGTGCCGCCCAGCCGTCGTCATTCACGTCCTTGTGAGCGGCGGCGGCTGGAGCACGCGCGAAGCCTGTGCTGGTGTCGACGTGCGCTGCGTCCACGGCATTTGTGCTGCTGTGGAAGGCGTAATAGTCCCCTTGCGTCAACGACTTCGTTCAGGGCAACAATTTAGGGCATCAGCGTATCCTGGAGGCTCGTGCCACTTCGCCAACACCAGGCATGACGCTCCATCCCCCCATCGCTTCATCGCCATCAACCCCCAAACACACTGAATCAAGATGTTGGACGCCTTCGTGCTCCTTCCTCCGCCTCGCCTCGCCCGTCCCTCTCCCGTCTCTTCCCGCCCACCTTTTCCTCCCGTGGACTGGGGAGGAGGAGCAGGGGAAACGTCATGCATCTCGCACGCTATGCCGCTCCCTCGGCGAGCGGAGCAAGTGGACTCTCAGCGTAAGTTTCTAGATGCGTTCCCGGGCGACCCTGGCGCAGCTGCGCGGCAGTGGCGCGGCGGGGCATCTGCGGCTCCTGTCTTCACCGTCCCTGCTCGTCAGCATTTCCTTGCCTTCCAGGGAATCCCCCTGCCTTCCCAGACTCCCCCCCCCCCGTTTCGCGCCACTCCCGCAGGCGCGTCGCCGGACCCTCGTCCGATCAGGGGCGTCGCGGGGGAGATGCTCGGGGCGGATGCCCATGCATCGCCAGCAGGTGCCCAGCAGCCCCTCCCCGCCCAGGAGCCTGCGGGGTCTCTACCGGGGGCCTGTCGGGGGCTCATCGCTGACCGATCGTCGATGCATCGCCGACTCCGGCTCGACATTCCCCCCCCTGGGACGGGCCCCCCCACTTACATCGGAGCCCCGCAGCCGCAGCGCCCGGATGGTGAGGGCGCACTGCTGGCCGAGCTTGAAGTCGGGCCTGTCCCTCTACATGAGGAATATCCAAAAATAGTAAACAAATGGTCAGGGGACCATCTTGTGAGTTTGTTTCATGCCAATTTCTTATCTTGTGAGTTTGGCGTATGATTGACAATTTCTTATTGTTCGTCGAAAATCCCCCTGTAGGGGGGCACGCCCGACTTAAGCCCAGCTCCCCGGAGCAAGCCCCAGGGCCCCCCGCAGGACCCCCCCCCCGGGACCAGTTCTTTCGAGCCGTGGCCGGCGAGAGCCGTGGCCGCGGGGGCCCCCGCGAGCTGTGCCCGGCGCCGTGGCCGATTGCGGCCCGGTGGTCTCCCCCGCTCCCTTGCCCTCAGAAGTGTGGAGGACGATCAGTGGAGAGGAAGCATGCTGCGAAATGATTGCCAGATGTCTAAAACATGTCTCCAACAGCATGTTTCAAAGATGTAAGAACCTGTTTGACACGCAATTTTAGAACATGTATTGCACATTTCAAGCACATCTTTGATTCAATGATAGGACTGTTAGAGTGTCCATTGTCATGGCATCCATAACCTCAGAATCGACTGCACGGAAGAGTGAACTTTCGCCGGAGTGGCCCTGCGGCAGTGGCGTCTTGCGTGCTCGTGTTTGGTCCCGCTGCGGCCCCCAAAGGGCCGCGGCCCCAAAGGCCACTCTTGCCCGAAGCCGACGGGAGTGCCCCTGCCCCAGGATCTCCAAGGGAGGCCCCCACGGCCCCCAGAGGGCCCCGCACGAGGCGCAGAGGGCCCCTTGGGGCTCCAAAGCTCAGCGAGAGGCCAGGGAGCCACCTGGGGCCCCTTTGGCGCCCCAGGAGGAGGAGGGGGAGGAGGAGGAGGGGGAGGAGGAGGATGAGGAGGAGGAAGGAGGAGGAGGAGGAGGAGGAGTGGGGAGGAGGAGGGGGAGGAGGAGGAGGAGGAGGAGGAGGAGGAGGGAGGAGGAGGAGGAGGAGGAGGAGGAGGAGGAGGAGAGGAGGAGGAGGAGGGAGGAGGAGGAGGAGGAGGAGGCGGGAGGAGGAGGGGAGGAGGAGGAGGAGGAGGGGGGAGGGGGGGAGGGAGGCAGGGGATGGAGGAGGGAGGAGGGAGGGAGGATGGATGAGGAGAGGAGGAGAGGAGGAGGGGGAGGAGAGGAGGAGGGGGAGGATTGGGGGGAGGAGAGGAGGAGGAGGAGGAGGAGGAGGAGGAGGAGGAAGAGGAGGAGGAGGAGGTGGAGGAGGAGGAGGAGGGGGGGCACCTCTGGCGCACCCCCTCCAGCAAGAAGCCCCGCCGCGCGGGCGGTCGGCCGCGCGGGCCCGCGCCCGCAGCGCAGCGGAGCCACGCCTCGGCCAAGCCGCTGGCCTCCCCTCGCCGCCGCGCCGGCTCCGCGCCGCGCCGCGCCGCGCCGCGCCGCGCGGGCAAAAGTTCCACTCGTCGCTGTCGTCGTAATCGTCGCCGCCGCCGTCGTCTTCGTCGTCGTCGTCGTCGTCGTCGTCGTCGCCACCGCCGCTCGTCGTCGTCGCCGCCTTCTTCCTTTCCGACCTCCTCCCCTTCCGTGGGGACGGCGGAGGCCTCCAGAGCTCGCATCCCGTTCTCTTTTCTTCTCTCCGTTCTCTCGTCCTCCTGCTCTCCGTCGTCTCCACGCGGGGTGAGGCCACGGCCCCGCGCGCCCTGTCCAGGAGGGTACGCGGGCACACGCTCGGGACTGGCCTCCGCCTCCTCCTGCTGCCCCCTCGCATCTGAGCGGGAGAGAGAGAGAGAGAGAGGAAGGGGATGCCCATCCTCCTCCTCCTCCTCCTCCTCCTCCTCCTCCTCCTCTCCTCCTCCTCCTCACTCCTCCTCCTCCTCCTCCTCCTCCCTCCTCCTCCTCCTCCTCCTCCTCCTCCTCCCTCCCCCCCTCCTCCTCCTCCTCCTCCTCCTCCTCCCTCCTCCTCCTCCTCCTCCTCCTCCTCCTCCTCCTCCTCCTCCTCCTCCTCCTCCTCCTCCTCCTCCTCCCTCCTCTCCTCCTCCTCCTCCTCCTCCTCCTCCTCCCCTCTCCCCTCCTCCTCCTCCTCCTCCTCCTCCTCTTCCTCCTCCTCCTCCTCCTCCTCCTCCTCCTCCTCCTTCTCCTCCTTCCCCTTCTCGCCCTCCCCTCCTCGGGTCGCCTACGGCGCTTCAGACAGCACACGCTCTGGGACAACGCAACGCTGGTGACAGCTGGTCCACCCGCAGGGACGCAGATGTACCCGCAGGCTCTGCCCGGAGGGCGCGAACTATGCACCCCCGCACCGATCCTGGCCCTGCGCGGGTTCTGGGGCCAGGATCGGTGCACGTGCCTTCCTGCCCGAGCCAGGAGTGCATCCGCACCGATCCAGGACCCCAGATGCGCCTGTTCGGGATCGGCTCCGGCGCTCAGTTGGCGTCCCTTCGCTCGAGGAGCTGCCCTCGCTCCTCCTCTTCCCTCCTCCTCCTCCTCCTCCTCCTCCTCCTCCTCCTCCTCCTCCTCCTCCTCCTCCTCCTCCTCCTCCTCCTCCCCCTCCTGTTTGCCAGCTCCCTCGAGGAGCTGCCCTCTTCTCGACGGGGGCGGGGGCGGCGGCGCCGGGGAGAGCGCGAAGGGTGCTGGGCCCCGCGCGTCGTGCGGGCACCGCGGCCCGGGCAGTCGAGGTCCACAGTGGCGCGCGCGTGCCTCTTCGCCACGGCCCTGCAGCATGCTCGGGGGTGGACAGACCTCCTACCCTGACACCATCATGAGTTGGAGGGGGAGGGGGTCCTCGTCCTCCTCCACCTCCTCCTCCTCCTCCACCACCTCCTCCTGCTAATCCTCCTCCTCCTCATCCTCCTCCCCTTCCAACTTATGGTAGTGGTGGTGGAAAACAGGCCCATCAACCCTGACACGCCGATTAGCGAATTGGCCGTTTTCGGCTCGCGAGATAGGGCGTCGCGGCCGTCGGTTTTGCGGGTCCGGGTCCGTCGGTTTCGGCCCTCCAGGCCGTTCTCACCATTGGAGGTCTACGAAAGGGAGGTTTGCCCACCGCCGACACGCCGCGCCCCGGGGTGGCGTGCGCGCGGGCGCTTGGGGAGGACGTCGTGGTCGTGCAGATCGAGTGGGAGGAGGGCGGCGCGACCCGGACACTGCTCTCGCCACCGCTGGAGGCCGCGCCGCGGGGCTCGGCGGATCTGTGGTGGGCGGCGGTCGGGGGAGGAGGAGGAGGAGGAGGGGGACGAGGAGGGGGAGGAGGAGGAGGAGGAGGAGGAGGGGGAGGGAGGAGGAGGAGGAGGAGGAGGAGGAGGGGAGGAGAGGAGGAGGAGGAGGACGAGGAGGGGAGGAGGAGGAGAGGAGGAGAGGAGGAGGGGGAGGAGGAGTAGGAGGGGAGGAGGAGGAGGGAGGAGGAGGAGGAGAGGAGGGGGAGGAGAGAGGAGGAGGAGGAGGAGGGAGGAGGAGGAGGGGGCGGTTTGGGGGGGACGGGCTCGGGGTGCTTCGCGGCTGCCCCCCGGTCGTCTATTCATCGCCAGTGGGTCGGAGGTGGACAGACCTCCCGCCCTGACACGTCGAGGATCGCGAGGAGGGCGTCGCGGTCCTCCCTCCCTCCCTCCCCCCTCCCTCCCCTCCCTCCCTCCCTCCCTCCCTCCCTCCCTCCCTCCTCCTCCTCCTCCTCCTCCTCCTCCCCCTCCTCCGTCATTTTTGCGGGTCCGGGTCCGTCGGTTTCGGTCCTCTGGGCCGTTTTCACTCAGGGGAGGTGCACCAAAGGGAGGTTTGTCCACCGCCGAATGGGGGGCCCGACAGCCCCACCCCACCCAGGAGCGCTCGGATGTGCTGTCGGTGTGTGTGTGTGTGTCGCCGATTGAATGCTTCCCCTCCTGCGCCGGTCCCCGCGTAACGTTGCCCTTCATCAGAAGGGCGACGAGACGGAGACGGAGATGGAGGCAGCGAAGGAGGAGAAGGTGAACGAGGTGTCCCAAGAGAGGGAGGCAGGTGGACGGAGGGAGAGGGACGTGGCATCCAGATAAGTCAGGAGACGCGGGACTTGATGTTTTCGCCAGGGTCTATGTTTTCGGAGATGCTGGTTTACCTCTGGCTCCGAGGCAATTCGTATGAGATCCGGCCCTGCTGGGGATCAGGGCCGAGTCTACCAGCTCACACAAAACATTCTCTTGGGTCGCACAACGCATATCCGAGTGAGGGGGC